TAAATCCCATTTTTGACGAGCTTTCATTTAGTATAAAATTCATTATAAATTCCTTCCTGGAATAATATCAATTCCTATTCTGTATCTTGGGGTATCAGGTCGACTGCTCACGTCCATATGGTAGGGGCGTAACCAGAAAAAAGGCGTAGAGGGGGCTCTGCCCCCTCCTCCAAATAGCGCACATAATCTCTGAGATAGATAGTGGTGGAACTGTTTCGCTCTTTCATGAAAAATTAACTCTGTTTGCCATTTTCGGAATGAGTTTCTTATAATAACAGTGCAGTATAAATTATTTTTCGCGTTGGTTTTTAGTGTTGATGACACAATAATCGGGTAAAAATATTTAATGTTTGTTTCACCAGAAAACACTCTCAAAAACGCAATTTTTCGTAAAAAAAATAAAACATTTTTTTCAAAAAACTATATAAATTCATATCAGAGGAGCTTACGTTTTTCGGGTGACAAGCGCAAAACGAAGTTAGTTGTATTATACCCACAGCCGCCGAAGGCGGCCAGACTCTGAATAGTTATTTCAAAAAAAAGAAGACCACTACGAACGGTGCAAGAACGCTTTGTTGCTGGAAGCAAATGAAAGAATGAAACTTTATTCTAGATTTGAGTCGAAGTAAAAAAAAGGGTTATTGATTAGAAAAAAAGTATCTTGAAGTAACTGATTGGCGAAACGAATTTTTCTTGAATAATAAAGCAAGAAAATTGAGCTATAAAAATATGTTTCTCAAAAAATATCTTCCAGATTCCTCATTTGTTGCGCTGTGAATGAACTAGAAAGTGATTCAAAGGTTTGACTCTCTTTTTTGTGACATTCTGTATACTACATTACATATATTCTAAGTTTACCGAAATATACAGTCTTATGGGATATGTCAAGGCTATCACACGAAAATTAATTCAAATTCATGAGATGTCATGAAAAACCGTTGCCATTGTATTAATTGTGAGAAAGCATTTTCATCTTATATTTTTAGGAAATAAAAATATTTTTGTCATGTGCAAAGGATCCAAAGGTGATCAGACTGTTGTTTTAAGGTGCTTTAATAGATACATTTAGATGATCACATAGAATTCAACAAACTCAAAAAGAATATGCATGTCCAAACATATTCATACATATTTTTCGATGAAAAAATCCTTGAAGAAAACTAGAAAACCAAATGTGAATCTTGCACATTTTTCGATAGAAAGAACATGCTGAGTTTTCGATGAAACCAAACCCATGTAAAAATGATCGTTAAATTGACGATTTAACGAAAATTAACGTTACCTTTTTGTCCGTAAAAACGCGTTAAAAATCGGCGTTTTAACGAACTTTCATGCGTTTTTCTCCGTTTTTCAGATGTTAACGTCGCATAACGCATGAAAGTTCGTTAAAAGGCCGATTTTTAACGCGTTTTTACGGACAAAAAGGTAACGTTAATTTTCGTTAAATCGTCAATTTAACGATCATTTTTACATGAGAGATATTTGATTTTTTTAAATTAAGAACACTAAGTAAAACTTATTTCAAGTCAAAGCTTTCATCTTCCTGTACCAAACGATTCATTTCAATTACTAATTAGATGTATATATGGCATAGATAACGGGAATTTTGATAGAGGAGTCGAAATCTGTGGCCATTCTTCAAATAAGCGCTACTAGAGATATCAAAGTCAAAGATAAATATTTTTATGTATAGGGAGCAAAAAATTTTTGTAGGGGGGCTCAGGCCTTCGTAGGGGGGGCTGAGCCCCCTCTCGCCCCCATCTGGTTACGCTACTACCATATGGGTCTAGGAAAGAAGCGCACGGATATTTTGCGCACGTAATATTGATTTCTCGTTTTCATATCAATAAAAGTCAATTGAGCAAGTTAGCAGAAATAATTTATTTTTGAAGTGGTTAATTGTAATATTAATAATTAGAAGCACAGGATAAGAAAAAGAGCTAATGTTCACTACTGTACAAATACAATGTCACTATTTAGTGTTTCTATTTCTAATGAAGATATTTAATATAAGGTTGGGTGTGGGTGGGTGAGTGTGTGGCTGTGGGTATGGGTGTGTGTGTGAGTGTGAGTGCGAGTGTGGATAGTAATGAAAGCATTACTGACACCCCACACCCACACCCACACCCACACCCACACCCACACCCACACCCACACCCACACCACCCACACTCACACCCACCCACACCCACACCATTGAGCTTGAACTCAGCAAAGCTAGATATTTTTGTTCTTTTCTTCACCTTTCTAATCATTGTTCATGCATAACTAATAGTTTGATATTTCGTGCTCAAGGCATCCGTGCGCAAGTTTCTTCGTGCGCAGGTTTCCGTGCGCAAATTTCCACGTGCGCATCTTTCCGGATCCCCGTCCATATATATATATGTATAGTTCATTTCAGAGTTTAATGGCCGTGGGCATTTTTTGAATAACCATAAAACAGAAAGAGAGAAGTGATTCGAATTTTTCGTGCTATCTAGAGTTGACAGTGCTTTATCTTCTTTCAAAGTCGATGCAAAATTCCAGTTAGTTTTTTTTCATGAATATGTCGTGTGTTTTGAAGATGAGGGTGTGAGTGGGTTTGAGTGTGGATGTGGGGTGTTGGTGTAGGGTAGAGTGTGGGTTTCTCTTTACCCACACTCACACCCCCACACCAACCTCCATCCCATCAACAATTTCCATAGCTCGATTAGCAATAATTTCATTAATATTCATATTCGCATGTATACCAGATCCAGGTTGAAAAGCACTTAATGGAAATTGATCGTTTAAACCTTCTTTGAGAATTTCGTTACACACTTGAACAATAGCATTTGAAATATGTTGATCAAGACCAAATTGACTGTTTACCATTGCACATGCTTGTCTAAAAAGAGCAAGTGCTTTTATAACTGGTAACGGAATTTTATCTATATATAATTTTTTAAAAGATTCATTCGAAAAAAAATTTTTTTGTCTTGTAGTAAACCAATACGAAAAGATTTTAATGATTTGGTTGTTTCAGCACCGTAATAAATTTTTTTACTCAATGTATATATCATTTTGTGTACCTTAAAATAATTTTCTTTTTTTTTTATTAAAAATGACTTACTGATAGATTTACCTTTTTTTATTGGATTAAAACAAAACACAAACACAAATACTTGAATATGTTGTTTTCTTATCTAAATAGATAAATATATTACTTTCATATAATCATATTATTTTTATAGAAATAAAAGAATATTTTATTATCATTTTTAAGACAAAAAAAAGCTTATTAATAAACAAGTAACGCTCGTCTGTGGAGTCGCTCAGCTCTTTTCCGTAGAAGTGCTACTTCTGGACTCTCCCAAAATTGTTCACTTATCTATATTACGAATAGTAACTAGTTCCAGATTGAAATTCTTATTTTTAAATTTCCTCTAATGAATTTTTTTTCTAAATTATGATGACATTAGTATGTTTTACTACTCCTTAGCATTGCTAGTTTATTAACACAAACTTATCATAGATTCTCGGTTTTTATTTGAAAAATCTTTGATCAAGTTTTCCAGAAAAAACAATAATAGTAGTACTTAGGAAAAAATCAAAACAGACTTCAGATTCAGGTTCCTGATCCTCAATTTCCCCTTTTCGAGTCTTGTAAAAAATATTAATAATTAATAATTAAAATAGACCCCAGATTTGGGTTCTCCATCCTCGATCACCTTCGGTCAAGTTTTGTCGAAAATATAAATAATCGATAATTAAGTAATAATACGTTAATAATTAAAACCGACCTTGGATTTAGATTGTCCACCCTCGATTACCTTTGGCCAATTTTTTCGAAAGAAATTAATAATTAATTGATTAAAACTGGTCTCGGATTTGGATTCCTCCCCCCAATCACCTTTGGTCAAGTTTTATGGAAAATAATCCCGTTTGATTTCACCTTATTCTTGTACTAATCACTAAAGTGCGAACATGCAAGCAAACAATCACGCAAACAATTTATTCTTGCTAGCCTCTTCTCTATGAGAAAGAGAACATTAAAGTTTTCTTCTGAAATATCATTCATAGTTCAATCATAATATGAAAATATTTCACATGTACATGATATATCTAATTTATTCGATCTAAAAAGACAATATATAGAAAAAAAAACAATCTTTTTTAAAAATAAAATATACTTAATACATATATTCATATGTAACGGATTCAGGACAGACTTCACTAATAAAACAATGATAATCAAGAAGACGACCATCAATATAAATACGTTTAATTGAATCAATTTGGAAAATTCGACAAAATAAAATAACAGTTTTTTTTCAAATAATCATAATCATCTATAATAGAATAATCATTATTATCAAATAAAAGTTTTTATATTACATGAATTTAAAAATACATTTTTATCATTAAATGGAAGAATAGCACATAGATCTGTATGAAAAAATATACCAAGATTCCATACATCAGTCTATCAAAGCAAACAATTGTTTTATAAAATTAATTGAAGTTCGTCATTCCACAACATCTCGATAATTTAGTTTTGGTGATAATTTCCTACAAAGACAAACAATATCAAAGCCTGTTTTTTTTTGTAAAAAAAATTCTTATCAGTGCAGCATACTATAGAGAGTTTTTCGTACGTAGACAACGTCTATATGATTCATCATGATAATCAAACCTTTTTTTTCTTTTCTTCATTCTGTGTAGTATTTATCTTTGACTAGATAGTCACATGTTTATATAAATACAAGGTATGTCGCTTGCATTAGTCGTACATGAAAATAAAAAACTTCTTGTCGAAGAACTTCCTGTGAGCTAAAATATAAAATCGATGTCAAATATATTGTTTTCAATTTCTCTCTAGCTTCCGATATATGGTCCCAGTGATCTGCTAATTAAAGTAACACATGTTGCACAAAATCCAACTGATTGGAAATCTGTCCATTTTCGTGCTGCGAAACCAGGATCAATCGTTGGATGTGATTTTGCTGGAGAAGTTGTTGAAGTAGGCGAAGAAGCGATTGGTTTGTAATACAAATATTGGTTTTTATTATGATTCTTGTTATTTTTTAAGGTAATTATAGAAAAGGTGAACGTGTTGCTGGCTGTGTTCCAGGTGGTGTCAATCCTGAATTTGGTATTCGTGGAGCTTATTCTAAATATGTTGTTCAAGAAGCATCACTCGTCTTTCGTTACCCTTCAATAATTTCACCGGAATCAGCAGCTACAATTCCACTTGCTACTATTACAGCAGCTCTTGGTCTTTTTCATGAGATGAATTTACCACTACCACCTGCGACTTGTGGAGCATCTATTCTTATATGGTCTGGTAGTACAAGTGTTGGACAGTATGCTATTCAGTTGGCCAAGGCAGCAGGTTGTTTTGTCATTACAACAGCATCATCTGCTCGTCATAGTTATTTAAAAGAGCTTGGTGCTAATGTCTGTTTTGATTATAAAGATCCTCATGTTGTTACAAAAATAAAAGAAGTAGTAAAAGATAGTTTAGCTTATGGTTTTGATTGTATCTCAGAAAAAGGATCAATAAAACAAGTCTGTGCTGCCCTAACAGGTCAAAATTCGCAAGTCGTTACTATTCTACCTGTTCCATCCAATGAAATACCATCACATATCAAGGAACATTTTGTCTTAATGTATTCAATATATGGACATGAAATACATGCTTTTCGGAAAGTTTTTCAAGCTAAACCACAAGACAAAGAATTTGCTGAAAAATTCTACAAGTTATTATCGAATGTCTTGTTACCTCAAGGTCTTCTCAAACCAAATCGAGTGACTATGATGCCAGGTGGTCTTAATGGAGTAGAAGAAGGATTCAAAAGAATGATGGAGAATAAAGTAGCAGCAGAAAAATTGGTTTATACGATGACTGAAACAACCAAACCACGTATCTTAAAACTCAATTCTAATTTATAATATGTTAACCTACAAAAAAATACAAACTTTTCAAATTTTTTTTCCTGTTTTTACAAGTTTTTTTGATTTTTAAGAAACAGAATGTTATTATTGATAAGACTGGAAAATAAATGTAGATGCCATATAAAAAAAGGCACCAACATATTTGGTCAGTAAAATAGATTAAATGATCAGTAAAATATATGAAACGATCAGTAAGATAAATGCTCAGTAAAAAGTATATATAAGATCGGTACTTAAATTATCAGTCCCCATTCTTCCATAGACTAGAAGCCCACTCCGAAAATCAATACGAGTTGAATTCCATGAGATCGAAATTCATGAGGAATTCAATTCGACACAGCGCAACTGCGCTTGGAGCCACTATCAGCCGTGCCCGATGCGGTGTGGTTGATACGACTTCGCGGCGTTTCATGCAGGGCGCATTACCACATGTGGATGCTTCGGGACAGCTTATCGTTTAAGATCATATGTGTAACGATTGATGACTGTTATACTTCAACTCTTTTACGTTCACTGCTCTTTGTATCATGATCCTTCATCGATCATTGTTCTCTCTACTTCCTCATGCAGGACCACTGTTTTTACTATATAATATGTGTATAATAGAAGAAAAGAAGGCATAAGTATACTTTACGTAAACACCTTTGTTTTTGCAATTTTTTTACTTCTAGAATTTATTATGTGCGAAAAACGATAGAACAACTAAAAAAGCTCGACGGCCACCCATCAGGACCCCATTTTAGACCATTGAAAAGTTTCAAAAGTGTTTGGTTGCCTTATCTAATATTTCAATTAAATTTTTGTTTCGTTTCAACAATTTCGCCCTAATTCAAATTATTCTTTTTTGTTAAAAAGAGTTTTCTTAGTTTTTTCATACTTAATTATTTCTGAAGATATACCGCTCAATATTCAATCAATTGTCGATGTGTATAAAGAGAAGAAAGTTCTCGTCCAGCAATTGCAACAATGGAATCTAATTCCTGAGGAGTCAAACTATATGTGCTCTGAATGTTCTAGTCCGCTTCGACTTAGTGTATGTGATTCTGAGTAAGTTATTAATTATTATTTGCTTGTATTTTCTAATGATTGCTTTGTTAGAGAATTGATGGATTCCGATGGAGTTGCCACAATTGGTTTGAAACAGAGTGTAGAATTGGAAAAAAGAAGTGGAAGAAGAAGAGATGTACTTATCAAGCTCGATTTCGCAAAGAAATGTTCTTCGCTCGATCTCACTTGTCCATTTGGTAAATCTTGATCTTCGTGAATTTAAGAGTTAAGAACGTTGGTTTGAATATGATTGGTAAGCAATAATTGTATGTCTGATTCATTTGTTTTGTGTAGTTTAACTATTTGTACTTTAGAATTGTAAGCAGAGATTTCCAAAAAGACTGCTGTGAATTGGGCTTCTTTTTGCCGAGAGGTGATTTATGATACTTTCATTCTTAATCAGCAAAAGTTAGGTGGCCCTAAAGTTGAAGTGGAAATTGATGAATCCAAATTCGGGCTCAGGAAACATTACAAAGGTCACCGAGTCGAAGACCAATAAGTGTTTGGAATATTTGAACGAGAAACCTGCCGTATTATGATGAATCCAGTTGTGAAAGGGTTTATTTTATTTTGAGAGATAAATTAGTACGAATTAAAAGTTCTAGTATATTAAGTTGTTAACATTTTAAAGATGCAGCCACATTGATTCCTATCATCAAGGACTGAATCCTTCCAGAAACTACTATCATCTCCGATTGTTGGGACTCATCCAACAGTTTGAGAGATGAGGGCTATAAACATCTGAAGGTTAACCATTCGATCACTTTCAAGGATCCCGAAACTGATGCATGTACTAATTCCATCAAAAACTCCTGGAGATATACAAAAGTCGTCATGCCACAATATCATCACAAAAAGGACTTCTTTCCTTCTTATTTGGTCAAATACATGTTCATGAAGCGTTATTGTACGTTGGATTTGGATCCTATTGTTGAGTTTCTTCGAATGGCCGGTAAGATCTACGATCCGGCTCACAATGAAGAAGAGCAGGTCTTGAAGAACTATGAAATTGAGAATGAAGAGATAAAAGACAATGATTTCAATTGATATTCTTTTCGGATGTATTTGTTATCATCTTGGAATAAATCGATTTCTCATTTACTTATCATAGTACATTATTGAATCTTTTACTTAAATTAAGTAGGGGAGATCAAACACTTTTGAAACTTTTTAATGGTCTAAAAGGGGATCCTGATGGGTGGCCGCCGAGCTTTTTTAGTTGTACTATTGTTTTCTACGCATAATAAACCCTAGAAGGAAAAAAAGTCGCAAAAACAAAGGTATTTACATAAAGTATACTTATGTCAACTATATATAATGCTTGATTCAAAACTTTACTGGTTTGTGAGTTCTAGGTACTATATTCGACAATTATAGTCTATTTTACCAGCGTTTTCTGTAAAAAAACTCAGGTCTTTTGAGTTTTTTTCGTTTTTCCTGGAAAAATCAGGCCTGTTTTTACGGCATTTTTTATTCAACTATTGCAAAAGGTTTCAAAAATCTACGTTAAAAATCATTGTTTTATACGGTTCGATGCATTTTTATCTGCTCTTTCCAACGGTAAAAACCACAGCTCTCTATCTTGTTTCTATCAAAAGTTATTCAAAAAATACCCATGTGCCTTTTATTTTGAAATGGGCAGTAATCTTCTATTAAAAGAACATATTCAGAAAACATTTAAATATTTTTATGATAATAATCAAATAATAACTTGTATTGATCATTTCCAAGAAGAAAGATGTAGTCAATATCATATTTATTCCTATCAATATAAATTGAAAGTTTACAATAATATAACAAATAATTTTCGAGGCGCGTTATTTACCAGTGGTACTGTAGTATCATTATATGATGAACGTCCATTTGAACATGAATTTTTTCTTTGAATTCAGAAATCATTTCCATTTATGAAAGAATTAACAATAAAGAATCGAAAAGCACAACATAATAAACAATTTATAAAATTAAAGAACGATAATCAAATGTTATCAATTATCGAATATTCCAATCTTACTCGACTTGATCTTACTAACACTCATGATGATTGTCTAATTATTTTTATTTAATACGAAAATGTCTTTGGCAAATAATCTTCAGCTTCGTGTCGATTATCAATCACTGAAAAGAATGACATACTATTTTACAAGATATACAAGACGAAATAATTGTGGAAAACTTGCTGCTCTATATTTTTGTCCAATGGATCAAATCGATGAACATACCAAAAACTATTTTTCTCATACACGTATACGTCGTGCTGCTGATTTTGAATTATCTCAATAAAATATATCAAAAATAGATCTATGAATTAATATAATGAAAATAAAACAACAATTAGATATAAGCTCATCCTCTCTTCATCTTTTATTACATACAATTATATTTTTTCTTCCAGAAGCGCATGAATAGATTCATACACATCAAACTGCTTTCTTTTTTAACATGAATACATAAGAATGAAGAGAAAGCACAGTGATAGAAGAAATGAATAAAGATAGGTCGAACAAAGGATAAAAACAGAAAAAAA